CCCTAACCCTAACCCTAACCCTAACCCTAACCCTAACCCTAACCCTAACCCTAACCCTAACCCTAACCCTAACCCTAACCCTAACCCTAACCCTGCGTCGCCGTCCCCGGAGCCGGAGCCGAAGCTAGAGTCAGGGTCGCTCCTGCCACCACAACCAACCAACCCCCCGCACCTTAGCCACACAACCATCGTCGTCGCCGCCCCCCCCCCGGACGCTGCCCCCCCCCCCATAGAGCACAACGATGATATCGCTGCGCACGTAGAGCAAGCGCTCCTTGGGCTGTTCAGGGGGCTTCCCCGCGACCAAGCGATCTTTGGGGAGCCAGGGAGGGACCTCGTGCGGTTACCGTTTGAAGCCAAACGGAAGAACGGACAGTCGTGGGCGCGGGTGTGCGCGGTGTTGGGTGCTTCCGTAGAAGCAAAGATGGGTCGTCGAGTTCCGCGCGGGTCTTGTTGGATGTCTTCCAAAACCGTCATCGATATAACAGTCCCGAAGGGCCCCCATTCGAATGACAATTATAAAAAGATTACCACCGTTAGACTCCTCGCCTTCCTCGCCGATCCCACCGACGCCAACTGGGCAAAGCTAAATGCCCAGACGGACGCCCCCCCAGGCCAACGGCCTATAGATTCCCCATTCAGCCACGCGTGCTCGAATGGGTCCCAGAGGGCCGGAGTTGGTGGTTGTATAAATGGTGTAGAACACGGGCGGTTCGCCACGAGGGGGGAGAACGAGTCGCACAAGAACTGTGCGAACGGGGCCCTGGCGTTGTGTCCTGGACACGGAACGCCCCCCGTCAAATGCGTGTTCGTCCATAAGGACGGGCACCCTAAGCCATGCAAGATGGCGAAGGACTGCGTACCAAAATGTTTTTGTGTGAGGCGATGCTATTAGCTTAGCCCACAGTAATACATTTTTTGGCCGCTTGGCATACGCTTGTTTCTCCCCTCGATGACTCCCTCGCAATGTGATATTCTAAGACTGTTCCCACTACACAAGGCTTATCACAGCCTTGCCTTACTTGCTTCGGATACTCGGACCTAATCAAGTAAGCTACAGTTTCCTGTAGGATCAGCACGTACCTTAAGCCCTTATAGTAAAGGCCCACCGCTTAGCGCGCGTTGCGACGGTTCAGCGCAACCTGAACTCGCCACAGGGTTGGCATAAGCTATTAAAGCTCGTAGCG